CACTCTTCATGTAATTACAAACTGTAGGGGAACCCTATGTGGAACCTCATATATCAAACTAATAAAAATTCGCTCGGCCATGTAAGCCACCTTAAAAATAAAAAAAAAAAAAACATAAAAAAAATAAGAATATAATATCATATTTATATATATATTATCTTGATATATAAATATATTAATTCATTTAAGTTAAAAAAAAATAAAAAATAAAATAAATATATTAATTTTTTTCCTAATGAATATTATCATTTAAATAAAAAAAAAAACTTTATCTTATTTGTATTTAGCTATTTAAGTTTATATATATATGTCTAAAGTTAATATCTACCTGAAATTATACTTGCTTAAAATTACTAGCTAACATAAAATAATCTAACTTCAAAAGCTAATTTCAGTTAAGTGCAACTTTAGATAGTATCAACTTTAGATATGATATATTTAAAACTAGATATTCGAATTCATAAACATTTACTATTACAAAGTGTTTTTTTAATTCTATTTTATTTGAGTTAATTTAGTTAATAAGATTATTTAAAATAAGTTGTTTAGATTGTTTTTACAATAACTTATTAACTGATAAGTAATTAAAGTTTAGTTATAATACGATATCTATTTAATTTCATCATATTTATATTGATTTAGTTATAAATGTAAAGATATTTTATTAATTATAATGTTTAAAATAGGCTATTCGATGATTTTTGTAGAAGTTTTTTTTTTGTTATTTAATATCACATGATCGATTTTGATTGGTTGATTTTAAAGTCGCCATGGCCATAAAATAAAGCCTTTAAGCTTTAAACTTATAATAAAAGTAGTAGATTTATGCTATTTTGCAAATATATATCATACTAATAAGCTTAATTAAAAAAAAATTAATTAATTAATTTCATGATTTTGCATATATTATAAATAAATAGCCTTTAAGCACAAAATTTTATTTTGTTCAGAATATAGGTTAAAAATTTTACTCCAAGTATAGTAACTTTGAAAAAAATACATTTAAAAAGTATCGACTACATAAATTATTTGTATGCAAGTTAAATACTCTTTTAACAGTTTATTATTTTGCTGAATAAGCAATTAATACTTCAAAGAGTTATTAAAAAAAAAAAATTGTACGGAATAAAAAGTAGCCCATCAATGACAATCTATGATCATGAGAGCGTATCAATATCCGTTCATATTTGTTGATTTACTCCCTCGGATAACCCAATTTAAAACTATATTAAAATTGGATCGGATTTTTTTTTTTAAAGGGAGATTTTTTAAACAAATCTGAAAATTTTTAAAACTTTTTAGTAAATTGATGTAAAAAAAAATTAAAATTTAAATATCATCTTAAACTTACTAATTTGAGTACAATACGAATCTCCGCAATTATTTAACCTTCTCCGTCATTTAGGCCTATATTTGGACTTTTTAGCAAAAGCAATTTAATGCTTTGGATGTTTTTTTTTTTTTTTTTAATTGCTTACGATGTTTGTGTACAAATGATGTGTGTGTGAATTTTTAAAAAAATTTTTTTTTTTCTTTTTTAGAAGAAAAAAAGGGGAATTCAAAAATTATTTAGCAGGAAAAGGAGATAGAAAAAAAACTTTAACAATATTTACAAGTGAAAAAAAGGTATGTAATCCTCCCATAACAACCCTTGTATATAATACAAATTAAAATCCTTTGTCATTTTTCTCTTTTTTCTAAAAATTAAAATTAACAAATTGTCCTTGTAATATATAAGTTGGTTCTTGTAATATATTAGTATTTTCTATATTAATATATTATCGAACAGTATATACAAATCAAATTTATTATCGAACGAGATCTACAATCTATTAATTCTACATATTTAAACTAATATCATATCGGGACTGATCCATCGTAATTTGGACTTCCAAATCCACGACCTCCATTTAAAATTTCAGAAAAAAAATTAAGGATTAAATCTGTTATTGTCCTTAATAATTTCCAGGATTCAGTTTGATCAATATCATAAGTACCATGCACAATTGGTTCATACGGTTCAACGTATAAATATGCATGATGAGATCTCTTAATTCTATTAAATAAAAATCATAATCGAATAAATATATGCTGATCTTATAAGGAAGGAGAGATAAAGAAAAGTTACTTACGTCCAAATTAGAAAAATAACAAAACATTCTATTAATAGTATAATCATTAGAATTATTGTACAATTTATCCCACAATATAATCGTCTTATTACACTCAATAGTAATTTAAATGGAAAGAAAACATAAGATATAAAATCTTTCCATATTTTTAAAAATTTATTAGTGTGTCGCTGTTCTATTACTGTAGATGGTGACTGAGGTAGCTATAAAACGTATACAATAATAAAATAAAAAGAAGAGATTTTAGTTTACATAAAAATTATAAACGGTGAATAAAAAATTTGAAACTCATCTAATAGATGAGTTAAAAAAAAAAGAGCCTACCTTATTAGCTTTGCCTTGAACTTTTTCTAATAAATTTTCTATATTCGAATGAAGTTTAGATACGTCTTTATCTAAGTCATCTGCAGCTTTTGCTTTTGAACCAAATTGAGCCAAAAGACTTTTTAATTCATTCTTGAAGAGAAAGAAAAGTTATATTAAAAAACTGATATTTAGGATATTTTTTATAATATAAAAGTATTTTATTTATGCCCTCACCCTTGAGGTTTCGTATTCAGCTTTTTGTTTGTCCTTTTCGTTCTCCATTGGTTTCCTCCTATGTGATACGACTTTTTTATGTCGTTTCTCGTCAAAATTGTTCTATAAGTAAAAATTAAAATAATAATGTCAAAAAACAAAACGATACCAAATATAGGAAAGTTTTAAATGTTTGTCTGATACTATGTATTATTCTTTTATACCTATTAAACCCTATTTTTGATAAACAATTTTTTTTTTTTTTTTTTTTTACAGTGTTTCGAAAGTTTTTCGTAACCATAATAATAATAAGTTACCCCCGAACTACTTTCTACTTTCTAGTTAACTCTTAAACTTTACTCGAAGAAAGAAAAAAAGAGCGCCTGTTCTACAGGTTATTACATAATACCAACCTGCTGCAGCTTGTCTCTCGCTTGGGCCTGTTGAGGTTGGATGAACATATTAGGGTTGTGATGAGTTCTCTGAGAGTTCGTGTTAAAAGTAGGCTGACCTCTATTCGCCATAAATAAAAGTCGATTAAACAAAAATTATAAAAATTTCGTGTTGTTTATTAGTTTATTGTATTGGAAAGTGGGATAAAAGTGTTGCCGTGAAATATATATAATACTTTAACCCTGTTATTTAGGAAACGGGGATATTTTTTTAAAAAAAATTAACAAATTCATCCGGAAGTTACATCTCCCTTTTAAGTGTGACTGGTACTTGGTGTTGTACTGATTATTTGAAATGAACTTAAACTGGTAAAAATTCATGTAATGTTTGTTCCATATGACTTTAAAAATCCAAAATTAATTTCTTGTGTTGCATTGTTTGCATGCAAAGAGAAATGAAGTGTAACTTTAGTTCAGATGTTGCCATATTGTTCAGATCATATTGTATTACGCATATCTTATTTTTCGATAATATCGATTTACATGTTTATTTTACTAATTTATTGTTATCTGTTATCTTTTTTTTTTCTTCACTCAAATGTTTCGAACTAGTTTAACGGTTCTGACCCGAAAACGTGGAAATCGAATGATTTTTCAGGTAAGGTTCGGATCTACCCTTAATCGATTCCGACGATTAATGTTAATTGCGAATCAAAAGATTTTCCTACATAAAACCATGATAAAAAATTCCCACATAGACCAGTACAAACGCAATGAAAGTTATTCCGGTCCCAGGTTTTCTTTATACTAATTACTTCCGTCGTCATATAAATCGTCTTCATTTCTCAAAGTTTTAAATTAATAACTAATGTTTAATTATATTATATTTTGTTAGTCTTGGAAGATAATTATTCGTATGTCGTTATTGACGAAAGTACAAAAGAAGGTAAGTTTAATAATAAAATTTTCTGAACGAATTAAAAAAAAAAAAATTGGACTCATTCGTTCATTTTCTTTACTCCATAGCTGCGGTTGTTGATCCAGTAGAACCTGAAAAGATTCTTCCTGTAGTTGAAGAACATGGAGCAAATCTTAAGCATTTAATCACAACGCATTATCACTTGGTATAATTCATGTATAAAGTGTCTCATTTTTTTTTGTTAATTATAGAATTAATTTAAAAAATATATTTCAGGATCATTCTGGTGGAAATGAAAAACTTGTTTCTCAACGTAGTGGTTTAACTGTTTATGGTGGTGAAGATCGCGTTCTCGCATTAAATCATTTAGTTAAAGATGGTGAAGAATTTAGTATTGGAAACATTACTGCAAAAGCTCTTTATACTGCTTGTCATACTCGAGGAAGTGTCAGCTTTTTTTTGCAAGATAAAGATGAAAAAGTTGTTTTCACTGGTATTTACTTATTTGCTTAAAATTTTATTTATTTATTTTATTCTTTTTCATCCCCTTTTTTTTTGCAAACTAACAAATCAATCATCAAAATAAATAAATTAAAAAAAAATAAATAAATAAATAAAGGTGATACACTTTTCATTGGTGGTTGTGGAAAATTTTTTGAAGGTACTGCAGATCAAATGTACAACTCTTTAATTAACGTTCTTGGAAAGCTTCCAGAAGAAACCAAAGTTTATTGTGGTCATGAATATACTAGAAGTAATCTCAAGTTTGCTGAATTTATTGAGCCTGATAATCAAATTCTCAAAGAAAAAATTCAATGGGCTTCTGAAAATCAACAAACTATTCCAAGTACTATTGGTGATGAATTGAAATTTAATCCTTTTATGAGAGTTCACGTTGATAGTATTAAGAAAGCAACTAAAAAGAATGATCCAATTGATGTTATGGGAACTTTGAGAGAGATGAAAAATAATTTTAAATAATCTAAATGCTTGGATAGTTTTTATTTTTTTTTGTATTATTAAATTATGATGAAAAATATTATGTAAAAAATAAATGCTTGTACATAACTCATTTACTTTGATTCATTAGAAATTACTGAAGTTTTATTATGTCCTAAAAATAGATAAAGTTTATGTTTTCACCGAAAGGGTTGATTGATATTATTAACAGCCTTATAATTTTAAAAATTATGTTGTTTAAATAGTATACACTTAATAAAACTATAGTTTATGAAAGAAAAAAAAAAAAATCTTTTTTATACAACAAAAAAAATTTTTTTTTTAAAAAAAAAGTTTTTAGAATGAAAAAAAAAAAATAGTTTGTATAAACAGTGTCCAAGGTAGTATTAAATATATCATACAATGAAAATTAAAAAAATTAAACCTTTGACAAATCCAAATATATATATATATATATATTTCGACAAGAAATCAACATTTTATTAACGAGATTTATTTTATGATTTTAGCATATAGTACAATCTTCTTTATTTGCTTGAGCTCGTGTATGTTGTGAAGGTTTGTAGCGTTTTTTATTGCCCAATTGTTTTAATTCCGTAAGACGTTGCATTGCTCTTTTATTCCCTTGTGCTAATAAGGAAAATTTTCGCATCAAATTAATTAATTATATCACTATTGATTAATAAATGTAAATATATATAACAACAATACCTGCAGCACGCATGTACCAACGTTTTGCTTCATCAAGATCTTGTCTTGTACCAATACCTACTTCCGTATAATAACCTATGGCATATTCTGCTTTTGCAAGACCTTTATCTGCAGCCTTACGTGCCCATAAATATGCTTCTGTGTCAGATTGTTTTAATATATTTTCTGAACCTGTCAGATACCAACCGGATAATGCTAATTCGGCATTAGGATCTCCTTTCTCAGCAGCACGTGAATAATATCGAATAGATTCTCGAGGGTCAATAGGACATCCCAATTGGCCATATTCATAACAACATCCTAATCTAAAACAAGATGGTGCATAACCTAAATCTGCCGCTCGTTTAAATTCTTCAATTGCATGTCCCTCATTTCTGATTAGTGAAGGAATTAATGGTGGTTCATTTTCTGGTTTAGCATGTAATAATCCTAATTGATGTAATGCATGCGGATTTGCTTCGTCTGCTTGAGCTGCAGCACGTTTAAGCCAATTAATAGATTCTCGAGGATTTTCGTGCTGTCCTAGTTGTCCTTTTAACATAATCATTCCGAGTTTATACATCGCTGCAGTATCTCCTAATGCTGCTGCTTTGCGATAAAATTGTACTGCTCTGTTTGGATCTCGCTTAGTCCCACCACCAACTTCGTAACATACCGCTGTTCTATAAGTAGCTGCAGGGTGACTGTGTTTTGATGCTTGTTCATAAAGATTAAAAGCTTTATCAAGATCTTGAGGTAAACCTAGTGAACCATTACCATAACAATCAGCAAGGTAAAATTGTGCCTCTGGATGTGAAGGGCGACCCATACTTTGTGTGGCTAACCGTTTAATTAATTTGATTGCCTCTTGAAGTAAAGCATCTTTTTTCTTTTTTGCATTTTTCGGATCAGGATCACTTCTACTAACAGAAATTGCTGCTGAAATTAAATATTTAGCATAAGTAAACAAACTATCAGGATCATTAGTCGATTTAATTTTTTGTCGATATTGTTCTATTACTTCTGGTGTATATAAATCTTTATCTTCTGTTGTATTAGGTTGTTCTAAGTTCCTTTGACCAGAGTACCTATTTGTATTTTCCATATATGCTTGACCAGGTTGACCATAATATTGTCTAGATCCATATTCATCTTGTGGATAATAATTAGATCCATAATATTGATCTTGATAATATTGATGTGGGTTCATGCTACCACCATAATAATCATCACTAGGTGGATATCCTTCACTAGGTGGATATCCTTCACTAGGTGGATACCCTTCGTTAGGTGGATATCCTCCATTAGGCGGATATCCTCCGTTAGGTGGATACCCTTCATTAGGTGGATATCCTTCACTAGGTGGATATCCTTCACTAGGTGGATATCCTTGTTGATAATAATCATAACCGTATGATCCTTTATTTACATTATCATAATCATAAGGTTGAGTTGGATAATAATTATAAGAATCTTCAGTATATACAGATGCAGTATCATAATGACGTCCCCGAGGATAAAATTCCTGATTATTCTGAGGTGGATATTGATTATTATAATTATAATAATTTTGTGGGTTTTGATTTTGTGCTTTGATAGAAAAGTCTGAACCTTGAGAATAACGACCATAATATTGCTCCTCAGAACCATAATTTGGATCTCCTTGAGCAGCTTGCGAAACGGAAGGAGGAGGACTTCGCATTTGTTGGTTACGAGGAGGACTTTGCATAAGTTGAGTAGGAGGGGGACCTTGAATGTATTGGTTAGGAGGAGGACCCTGTATTGGTTGGTTAGGAGGAGGACCCTGTATTGGTTGGTTAGGAGGAGGACCCTGCATTGGTTGGTTAGGAGGAGGACCCTGCATTGGTTGGTTAGGAGGAGGGCCTTGCATTTGTTGATTAGGACGAGGACGGGGAGAGTTTACTCTTTGCGGAACGATTATCTGGGATGAAATTGGTACACTATGATCGTCATTAATCTTCATATTTGCCATACGTGAAATCGTAGCATCAACGGAAATCTCAGAAGTTGCAGAAGATCGCATTTGTTGAGGTTGACCATAATCTTCATAACCTCGGTCAGAATAACGCTGGTTTGTGGGAAATGGAGCGCGACGTTCCCCGTAATATGGGTCCTGCCCTTCTTGAGGACGCCCGCCTGGTCTACTCATTTTCTCTTATAAATACTTTTATAAATAAATTGTATTAACTTTAACTTTTCAGCTATGATTTTGGTTAAAGTTTTTAAGAATTTATATTAAAGTTCTAAAAGTTATCATACTAACTATTTAAAAAAAAATTTAAAAAAGGTAACATACATCCATTTAATTATAATTAATTATAGGTCAAAAAATTTTTCGAAGTACAGTACAACCAATAATTTATACGAATAGCAGTTTCAGATTTTGTAATACGTACAAACTTCGATACGTGATTTGTTTTCTTTATCATTTGCAGCTGCGTATGTACGTACTTGTGTACTTAAATTGGCACGAACAGCCCTGACAAAAATTTCCGTAGGAAGTTATTAAGGATCGTGGGTGATTTTTACGATGTCATTAGAGATTTTGATTGGATTACCTGGCAACGAACACACACGGATAGCTAGTGGCTATTTTTATGAACCTATTTTTAATTATCATAAAAGGTGTTTTAATATTTTATCAGATAAAGAAACAGGAGCCTATTCAACAAACAAAAATTTAAGTTTTACTTTTTATATTTAGTTTAATTAATGCTATATATGTTTGGACTAGGAAAAGAAAGTATCGATTTTTTGATAGAAATATTAAACAACGACCTAGAAGTTCTAATGCAAGATTTGATTGACATAAATTTACCAACGTGAGCTCAAAATACATTCGGAAATTATCTGTATGTACGTTATTACGTATAACATTTATAATTTTAATTAAACGTTAACGTTAATAATATCTGATATCGATATAATTTTATTAATAATGATTAAATAGATATCAAACATTTTATGAAATGATTTACCATACGCAATATACAGGTCAATCAATATGTTTGGCAAATCAGTGTTTGGGATCTTGATGAATTTACTTTAAGTATACTCTGCGGATTTTCACCGGCACAAGTTGGAATTTTAATGGTTATAACTCATCAAAATTGGATATTATTAACATTTCAAATGTTAATAAATTTATCTCACTCGTTTGATGATAAACAAGCTATCTATGGTAAAGTTCAAAATCAGTACGAAAAAACATTCATAAGACCAAGACCTTTTGTAAAGACAAAACAAACATGGACTCAAACAAGTTCAATTACCGAGTTATTTCAATTAAGGCAATTAAAAGATCAATAAAAATATCCTGATAAGTTGGTCAATCCATGGGCAGATTCTTCAAATTCTAAAGTTTCTTAATACTTATAGATTTTTTAGCATTTTATGCATGTATACGTAGAAGATTAAATAATTATCATATTACGTATACACAATCAATTGATCCAGCAAAATAAATTAATAAACATCCATATATAAGTGCTGCGGAGTGAAACCTTGTACGTATGTGAATTAGAGATGCGGGTGCGCTTAGTTACGGTTTATGTTACGACAGTTTCGCCTGCACCTCTAATGTGAATACGTACTTAAGTTTTTACCTTAACTGTTAACTTATCAATTACACAGCATCGTCGGTCAGGGACACAGAAAAATTTGGATCCATGTAAATCGAAATTTTCGGGCATTTCCTATGTAAAACCAAATATTTGAGCATTTTCCAAATTTCTGAGAATTTTCATATTTTTATTGGTTTTTAGTTTCGATTTTGCCTGGAAAATTTCAGGATAGTGTACAGGGATTTTCGGAAAAATATTTAATCAGTTAGAGCGCCGCAAAGAATGAAATTACGTTCAGTATTTAAATTTAAATTAAATTATAGCGGTATAATCTGATAAGTTATTAAGTAAAAAGGTCAAATTCTGCTTTTCTTGCAGCACTCATTTTGACTTTTACGTTATTTTGGCCTAAATTATAAACTTATATTGGCTAAAAAAAATTATCGAAATTTATCTAAATTTTTGCAATTAATTTTTACCAGGGTTGTAAACAGTAGGCGCAGCGCACATAAACTTAAATTTGCGTGTATTACGTATAGGGTTGTTAAATTACCGTAATTTTACGTAATTTTGTGTAATTTTTCGTAAGATTCGGTAAATTGGATTTACATGGAAATGTAATT